CCAAAACAAACAAGACCACGCTAGTATCATTTTCCACTGCTCCATGTCTCTTAGACAAATGGAAACAAACAAGACCACGCTAGTATCATTTTCCACGCTAGTATCATTTTCCACTGCTCCATGTCTCTTAGACAAATGGAAACAAACAAGACCACGCTAGTATCATTTACCACGCTAGTATCATTTTCCACTGCTCCATGTCTCTTAGACAAATGGAAACAAACAAGACCACGCTAGTATCATTTTCCACGCTAGTATCATTTTCCACTGCTCCATGTCTCTTAGACAAATGGAAACAAACAAGACCACGCTAGTATCATTTACCACGCTAGTATCATTTTCCACTGCTCCATGTCTCTTAGACAAATGGAAACAAACAAGACCACGCTAGTATCATTTTCCACGCTAGTATCATTTTCCACTGCTCCATGTCTCTTAGACAAATGGAAACAAACAAGACCACGCTAGTATCATTTACCACGCTAGTATCATTTTCCACTGCTCCATGTCTCTTAGACAAATGGAAACAAACAAGACCACGCTAGTATCATTTTCCACGCTAGTATCATTTTCCACTGCTCCATGTCTCTTAGAAAAATGGAGGAAATTATGCAGCTTTCCCTGCTATAAGTTCTCTCTTTCTCTCTGATCTCCTTCTTCCACCCTCTCTCTCTCCCTCCCTTCTTCTACTCTCTTTCTCTCTCATGCCCATCAAATAAAAGTTCTCAAGCACCACCCTTCTTAGTTCTCATGGCAACAAAGCCCTAAAAGATGAAAGAGAAATGATAGCCAAAAAAGGCACCACTTTTTTTAGTATGATTGCAAGTTTATCTTAGTGGAAAAGCAACCATAGGTAGAGTAATTATGTGATCACTTTGCTTGAATCCTTTCACACCCTGAAATAAAACTCTTTATTGAAGATAGATATATATTTTTTTTCTTTTAATTTTTGGAAGAAAAGTGGAAGAGATGGACATTGAATTGGCAAAATGTGAGTGTTGTGGATTGAAAGAAGATTGCACACAAGACTATATCACTGAAGTGAAGGCAAAATTTGAAGGCAAATGGCTATGTGGGTTGTGCTCAGAAGCTGTTAGAGATGAAGTGGACAGAGGGAAGAAGCCATCTGGTATGGAAGAAGCTGTGAAGGCTCACATGTCATTTTGCAGGAAATATAAATCGAATCCGGCGATTCGGGTGGCTGACGGGATGAGGCAGATGCTAAGGAGAAGATCAGGCGACTTGTCGTCGTCGTCGTCGCCGTCTTCCGGTAAGAAGTACACAAAATCAGCAAGCACATCCCAATTTGTAGGAGATGACTCATCATTATCTTATTACTAGTTAGAAAGAAAGGTTTGTTGGCCTCTTCGTCTTTTGCTTGGAATAAGGTTTAACATTAACAGCCTTTGATCATGGCTAATCTCAAGTTGTCTGGTACAGAGGATGTTTTTCTAATGGAAGCTTTTTCCTAATTTTTCTTCTCTTTTCTCTCTAAATATGGTATGTTCTTCTTCAGAGTTAGATTTTGACTTCATTGAAATAATTAGTCTATTAACTTTTCTCATACATAGCAAAAGGAAGACATTAATGGTTTGGGGTTGTACGGTTGCTTTTTACATTTCTAAGGTTGCAGTATTCAGAGTTTGTCTCCATTTGACACATCTCTCGCGGTGGCCCGTATTCCGAAACAGTGTTTATCCCTAGATGTCCAGGTGGGGATGGGGGGAGGTTGTTTGTAAAAGGCCGTCCATTGGATTTCTGCTGTGATTTTCCAGCAGAAACAAATGCAAGCCATTAGCCAGCAGGCACTCTCCCTCTCTCTCTCTCTGGCCACAAAATCACTGTTTTAAGAAAAAAAAATTGCAGAAAAGAAAATGATCAGAGTCAATTGACTCCCCTTTATCATTCTTTAGCTACCAATTTTCAATGGAAGAAAAAAAAATTAGTTGAAAAGGTGAAAAAGATGGAACTTAGGCAGATGGTATTTCTGTGAACTTATAAAATCCTGTTCCCTCTTTGGTGCACACTTTGAGATTAAAAACCCACAAGATGAAGAAGATATCTAAAAAAAATGTGTTTGTAAGAACCCCAAAAGAAAACAAAACAAAAGGAATCCCAAAAAAGAAAAATTAAATCCCCACGTGAAACGACGTTGGTTTGTTGATGGAAACCCCCCCCCCCCCCCCAAACAA